TGCAAAATGCCCAGCATGATTTCTTTTTTTTTTTTTTTTAATATATTTTATTGATTTTTTACAGAGAGGAAGGGAGAGAGATAGAGAGTTAGAAACATCGATGAGAAACATCAAACATCAATCAGCTGCCTCCTGCACATCTCCTGCTGGGGATGTGCCCGCAACCCAGGTACATGCCCTTAACCGGAATCGAACTTGGGACCCTTCAGTCCGCAGGCCGACGCTCTATCCACTGAGCCAAACCGGTTTCGGCCCAGCATGATTTCTTAAAGCCACCTCTTTAGCTGTATCAGCTAGTCTCTGGTCATCACTCCGTCTCTATTGTCACTCTTCACTCCTGCCGGAAGCCGGTCCATCCTTGCTGCTTGACACAGTCACTGCAGGAAAGAAACATCTGCACAGCATATGTTTCAAGGGACCTGGCATATATAGCATATTGTTCTTAATATGTTTGCTCTCCTTAGCGCCATGTGTTTTAACCAAGGTCACCTCTCCAAGAAAGGTTGTTTCCCCAGGTGGGGATTTTTCCCTGAGGTTAGGGAGGAGATACAACCCCTTAACTAAGTGCCAGGCAGGTAGTTAATCACTTTATCTACAATCACGCTTAAGCTACATAATCTTTACTCCCTGGAATGGAGATAAGAAACGCCCTAACCTTTGCAATAGAAATTGACAGGATTAAAATCGACTGGTATAAATACAGATGTAACAAGACAATAAACATCAGATCCTGATCAGATCCAAACCAGAACTTGACCAGAACTTCAATGGAGTTCCTAACCAGAACTTGGCTGGAGTTCCTGGCTAGAGATCCTGGCTAGGCTGCTGATCAACTGAAGGCTGTCTCCGTGTCATTCCTTCATCGCCGACTCCATCCACACCTTTGGGGACCCCTGGACCTGCTGGGGTTGGACCCCAGCACACTCCCACATCTATTTCCATATTTCCATGTTTAGGACCTTGCGTACAAATAGCTGCCGACACAATAGTAACTACCAGTGACTTCTGATGATCATCAAAGCCCTTGTAGTGCTTGACTTCCTAATGGCCCTTAGGGACAACCAGGAAACATACATGGAAATGATGAAACCAGTTTCTTGTACCTCTGCCAGTAGGAATTCTATAAATTTAAAGAGGTCTTCCCTTTTCATATCTGAAAACAATGAATCCATGACTTTCTCTGAATATTTTGCCTAATTATCATCCATTAGTAGCTGGAGTATTAAGGTTCTGTATGTCAGACTTGGAAAATATAAAATTTAAATTTACATTAAAAACAGTCAATTACTATAATTCCAATCAGAGAGGGACCAGCCAGGAAACCACTCTAGGTTAATTTAAATGAGGAAATTTAATACATAGATAATGAATGATGAAAAAGCTGAGAAGCCAGCAGGGAATGGTGAAGCAACCAAAAAATTAGTAATTGCAAGAAGCCCCTAACACTTTCAGGGCCTCAGGGACAGAGGGAAATGTCTTATTACTGGAGACTAGAAGCAATAGTCACCTAGTGGGAAAACGAGAACTCAAGAGAGGCTGTCTAGTGGGGAGCTAACACCACAGATGAAACCAGTCACAGCAGGGAGATACCATTCAGGAATATGCTAGTCGGTGAGGAAAACTCTGGCTTTTCTCACCTTTCCTGTCTCACAGCACTACCCTCCCCCCACTCCTCCAATGGACCTAATCTACCTGGAGTCTAGTTGGCAAGTAAATCTGAGAAACACATTGTGTGGGTGAAGAGTCAGAAAGGAACATTAGTTAGAACAATGGCATAAAAGAGAAATTTAGAGATGTAATTGGTTGCTAAATTATGTTCAATTTACTTTTTTCTTATATAATGAAAATGATCTGCAAATCTCTGAGTAGCCTAGACATTGTAGCATTTGGTACCTAATGTAGTTGGTTAGTGAAAATAATGCTAAGTGTAGAAAGTGATATAGCATAAGTAGAATCATATTTTCTCATTACTCACTTTAAGCAATAATAATTGCTATCATTACACAAAAATATATACTATAATCATACAATTTACTTGGACCACATAAAGGATTTACTTAGCCTGTCTTAATATATTTATACCTATAATTACATACTTATATAAGCATTCACTCAAGACTCACTATGCAACATACTATTTACTTGTCCCTAGAAAAACAATCCTATCTAATAATAGACAAACAGGGTAATTGACCATACCTTCACTATGCCTCCCATTGGCTAATCGGCGTGATATGCAAATTAACCACCAATAAAGATGGCAGTTAATTTGCATATGCAGGCTCCAAGCAGTGGAGCAAAGACTGAAGGCATGCCAGAGCAGTGAAGATGGAAGACGGAAGGCAGCTCCGGCCAGAGCAAAGGCCTGGGTCCTGGGTGCCAGAGGAAAACCGGTGCCCGCAGCCAGGAGAAAGGAAGGCCTATTGCACAAATCTCTTCATGCAACAGGCCTCTAGTTATTTCATAAGACCGGGTCATATCCTCAAGAAACAAAGAGTATAGGAATTAAGAATAAAATATATGACATACATATCGCATAGGTATGATTGAGAGGAAGACACAAATAAGGCAGTAGTTCATTTTTCCATGGAGCAGGGAATCTAATAAGAATGCACAGAAGAGAAGATATTGGAGTCAAATCTGAAGAATCAAAGAAAATGCTATGTCTCTCTGAAGTCTTCCAGGTTCTTCTCCCACAGGCACAAAGATCCATACAATGACTACTTACATCCAACTTTTTAAAAAAAGGAGATTAAATTAGTAATTTTATTTTTTATAATGTATATATTGTTGATAGTATTATAGATGTCTCCCACTTTACCCCTTATATCCCCCTCTTCTCAGCCCCTACCTGTCCTACCTCGTGGATCCATTTTAATGCTAAATCATCTGCTTACTTCAAGAAAATGCTTGAAAAAAATCCTCATATTTCCATCCATTTGGTAATGCAAGAAACATCACAAAAATATTCACTATTTAAAAAATCTTCAAGGGTTACCTTCTTTTTCTGTCATTCTCAACCCTGTCCCTTGCTCTCCTGCTTTCTGTGTACTGCTAAATATTTTTATGGCAGAGAATCTTTGTTCTATGTTATTTTCTTTTTTAATACAACCCTAGATACTTTTTAATCTTTTATAAAAAATATGTTTTTGTTGATTTCAAAGAGAGGAGGGAAGAGTTGGAGAGAGAGAGAAACATCAATAATGAGAGAGAATCATCAATTGGCTGCCTCCTGTATGCCCCCTATTAGGGATTGAGCTCACAATCCAGGCATGTGCCCTGACTGGAATCGAACCATGACATCCTGGTTCATGGATTGATGCTCAACCACTGAGCCACACCTCCAGGCAAAATGGCATAGAATTCTTAAAATGTGTCTAAAAATGCAACTATGATTTATGACAAAGGCAACAATAAAATAAAGTGGAGAAAAATTTTTTTCAATAAATGGTGCTAGATGAATAGAATATTCATATAGGCAAAAAAATTAGCTGATCCTTTATCTAAAACATACACAAAAATAAATTCCAATGGAGTACATGTCTAAACATAAAACATAAAATAATAAAGTTTTCAAGAGAAAACATAGAAGAACATCTCTGTGACCATGGAGTAGGCAAATATTTCTTAAACGGAACAGAAAAAGCACTAACCATGACATTTAAAAACTGGAAAAACTGGACTCTTAAAATTCCTAGTTGATGTCAAAAATCACCATTAAGACAGTGAAAATTAAACAATAGCATAGAATGATATTCACTATATATGTGTGTGTGTGTACCTCTCTTTCTCTCTCCTTCTCTCTCTCTCTCTCTCTCTCTCTCTATATATATATATATATATAGTCTGTCAGAAGATTCATATCCAGAATATATATACATTTTAAAATATTAAACATTCATGAGAAAAAGACACCCAATCCAATATAAAAATGAACACTCTTCACAATAAAGAACATAGAATGGCTAATAAGCATGTAAAAATGGTGTGCAATTTCATTAGTTATCAAGGAAATGCAAAATAAAACCACAATGTAACACCACCACCCACACACAAGAACGGCTGAAATGAAAAAGATGGGGATATACCAAATGTTACTGAGAACATGGAGCAAACACTTTGAGAAACTGCTTGGCAGTGAACAAAGGACACGTTCCAGAACATTTAGGTACTCTATTCCTACTATCCCCAGACTGGAAATAATACATATGGCCATCAACAGTAGAATGGATGGATAAAATATGATACACTTAGGCAATGGGATATCGAACAAGTTAAGTCTGAAGAACTCCCGACTACACACAGGTAGCTGACGTGCAGGGATACGTATTCGAGTTTAAAAAAAAAAAAGACACAAAAAGAATGTATAAAATATGATTCCATTGATATAAAGACTGTTCGTTTAGGTCTTAGCTACTCTTAGGACATGGGGGTAGGGGATATGGAAGGGGAGACGAGCGAGGGCTTCTGGGGTGGGTGCAATATTCAGGCTCTTCATCTAAATTCCGGTTACATCGGTTTATTCCGTTTTGTGAAAATTCAGTTAAAACTGAAAGGAAAGAATGGCAGGAATGGATCAGACATTATATTTAAAACCAAAGAGATCATAATGAACTATACGTCCCCACCCCAACCCTAAGCCTTGCAGGCACGCAGGCAGGCACGCACGCACGCACTAACAAACGAACGCACGCACATAAGCACGCACATAAGCACAAGGAAGTGGACACCTCATTGGCTGGGACCAGGTGGCAGACTCCCGGAAGTTGGTTCTTAACACCACCTCTTCCACTTCCGGGCACTCCACCTTCCCGCCTTCCTGCCTCCGGGCCTTGCTGTCTTCCCTTCTAGCCTTCGGACCCCTCTGCCTCCCGCCTCCTCTGCCGTCCAGCCGCGTGGCCTGGGCCCCTGGACAGAAGCCGCAGGGTAAACCTCGCCCCGGGTGCCAGGAGATCGCCTCCCCGCGGACCCCGCCCGCGGCTGGCTTGGCTCTTCCGCCGCCATCATGAACATCCGCAATGCTGTGCCGCAGGACCTGATGAACATGCAGCACTGCAACCTCCTCTGCCTGCCCGAGAACTACCAGATGAAATACTACTTCTACCATGGGCTGTCCTGGCCGCAGCTCTCGTACATTGCTGAGGACGAGGATGGGAAGATAGTGGGCTACATCCTGGCCAAGATGGAGGAGGACTCCGAGGATCCCCCGCATGGCCACATCACCTCCCTGGCGGTGAAGCGCTCGCACCGGCGCCTCGGCCTGGCCCAGAAGCTGATGGACCAGGCCTCCCGGGCCATGATCGAGAACTTCGGCGCCAAGTACGTCTCCCTGCACGTCCGGAAGAGTAACCGGGCCGCCCTGCACCTGTACTCGGACACCCTCAACTTCCAGGTGAGTGAGGTGGAACCCAAATACTACGCGGACGGGGAAGACGCTTATGCCATGAAGCGGGACCTCTCGCAGATGGCGGAGGAGCTGAGGCGGCCGCTGGAGCTGAAGAAGGGCCGTTCTGCGGAGCTGGGCCCCAGGGAGATCCAGGCGACCCCGGAGAGCACGCTCCCGGGATCGGAGCTGCCGCGTCTGCAGAGGAAGAAGCCGGCCACGGGCAGCTGTGGCAGTGACAGCAGGGAGTCCAGCGAGTCCACGGACAGCCCCGGAGCCCAGGACAGCCCCGAAGACTCGGACTCCACCTCCTAGGACCTGCGTGAGGTACTCTCTCTTCCTACCCGCTTACTTCCTGCCCGAAATCCCGGCACCAGGCCGCGGCCTGCCCAGAGGCGCCCCTTCCCGACCCGTCCCAGCTCTGCTAGGGTTCCCGGGGAAAACCACCTGGAGGCCTTGGGGCGGGGTGTAGATTGGGTTTCGGGGAACCCGTTGCTCACTATTGGACGTTAATAGCACCCCGCTTCATATGCTGAGAGTAGATTTCATCAGTAAAAGAAACAAGTGTTGATGCGGCCTTTTTCGGTATGAACCGTGTTTCAGGTTACTACGTAGTTAATGAAATACATTTCTTCTTTATATAATTGTAACTAATAAATGCAGAAGCGATGATAGAATTACAAAATCACCATTTTGCAGCTTTTGATGAAGTTATATATCTAGTCAGCTGTCATCAGTGGCTAATACTATTAGGTTAAAGTTGGAGCACTTTTTAATAATGGATCAGACTGACAACACTTCAAGTCACCGAGCGAGTGTCACATCATTAAAAGGGAGATAACTATTATGTGCCTCCTAACGCAATAGGAAATACACAGTAACACCTAAGGAATATTCATGCCCAAAGGAAATTTCATAGATATATGTATGAAATTCATTTGGAATCCAAACAAGGCTCTAGATATAACTGCCACTTTCTAAAATATGTTTTTATTGATTTCAGAGAGTGGAAGTGAGAGGGAGAGAAAGATAGAAACATAAATGATGAGAGAGAATCATCCATTGGCTGCCTTCTGCATAGCCCCTAATGGGGAATCGAACCTGTAATCCCGGGGCTTGTGCCCTGACTGGGAATTGAACCCTGACCTCCTGGTTCATGAGTCCATGCACAAAACCACTGAGCCACACTGGCTGGGCTATAATTGCCATTTTTATTTTAAAAAATAGTGGGGCATGATGCAATTGGTCATGTCCAGAAAGAGAATTTCTACAGAAAAAAATGACCTGGTTTGTTCAACAAATAAATGTCATTTTTTTTAAGTGGGGGGAGGGGAAGAAATTATCAAAACAAACCGTAGAGATATATTGACCAAATGCAACCATTGTGGACATTGTTTGCAGCCTGATTTAAACAAACCAAATATAAGACATTTTGAGAGAACCAGGCAAAACTTGAACATGGACTATATGCTATTAAGAAATTGTTAGTAATTTTGTTAGATGAGCTAATTTGTATTGTAGTATTATATTTAAAATGTTCTTATCCATTAGAGATACATACTAAAATAAAGGTGAAATAATATGGTGCCTGGGATTTACTTTAAAATACTCAGGCAAAAAAGGAAAACAGAAAGAGTTGCTGAGGGGGGAATAGATAAGATTGGCAAGATATGATAATCCTTGAAATTGGATAATGGCTACTTGGGAGGTTCATTATGTTTTTTTATTTTTTTGAATGTGTGACAATTAAGCTAACTGACAAAAACAATTATACTTTCTAATACACACTAACACTAAGCAACCACTTTAAGAATTTCAAGGATCAATGAACTATTTTCAGTTTAGAAGCTTTAACTTGTCATTCTAGTCACATCTTTCCCATAACAAAGTCAGGTCATGAGTGACATACCCTGCATATAATTAAAATAAATGCTGTCTGATTAATTTACTCATTCATAAAAATTTTTGTCAGACATGAGGTTTAAAAGCTTGGTTTACAGAAGTTATCAGGGCAAGCTGATGTTTACATTGTAGCATTTAAGAATAAATGAACTATATTTTTATAAAGCAAACTAATAGCACAATAACCCAGTTTTATTTTCATTCACTTCTGGTTCCATAGATTATAAGAATTTATATATAGAAAGTTCTTGGGGGTTAGAAAAAGTCTGTTCTTAAAGGAGTTTTTGCATCTGCTTTTAACAAGAAGGCTTCATAATGACTGGGTTCATTTGTTCTAAAGTTAAATGCAGCAGAACAGTCTAAAGAGGAAGATAAAATTAAGCAAAACTTACTGCCTTGAGAGGAGAGTTTTCACATTTACAGCTGTCTTCAAAATCTGGAGGGCTCTGTCAAAACTATTTTATTTAAAATTAACAAACCTTTATAAAAATGAACATTTTTCAAATACTTATGTAGGAAGCCTTTTGTAATATTTTGAGAGAACCAGGCAAAACTTGAACATGGACTATATGCTATTAAGAAATTGTTAGTAATTTTGTTAGATGAGCTTATCGGAAATTGCATACTCTCTTTATATAAAACATATTATATATATTATATATCATATATATACACACAGAGAGACACACACACACTAGTATAATTAGATGAATTCAAGAGCACTTAATATTGGCTTTGACAAACAAAAATAACTGCCACCCTTGTAGGAGAAGAGAGAAAGAATAAGAAAATCGTCCTGGCAGTTAAAAATCTCAGTGTGCAATGTACAAATACAAATTCAGGAATGCAGTCAAACCTGGGTTCTCGAATATATTCCATTTTAGCAATTTGGTTCTTGACTGTCAACAAAACTTAGGCTCTCCACCGACAACCCTTTCCTGTTGATACATCAGCATGACAAAAAGCGTCTCTCAGGCCACAAACCAAGGAGAGAACCTGAGTCCCTTTATCTGTGCTAAACCTAACATCTCAGGGTTGTTTTTTTGCTTGTGTTGCTAGTGAAATGGTAGATTAGCACAATTTTTTTTTTTAAATCCTCACCCAAGGCTATTTTTCCATTGACTTTTAGAGAGTGGAAAAGATTGGGAAAGAGAGAGAGAAACTTAGTTGTGAGAGAAACACATGGATTGGTTGCCTCCTGCATGAGCCTTGGCCAGGGCCCAGGCTGGGGAGGAACCTGCAACCCAGGTATATGCCCTTGAGGGGAATCTACCAGGGACCCTTCTGTCTGCAAGATGAGGAAACATAAAGAAGCCATCAGGAGTGCTAATGTTGCTAAGGTTGTGAAAGAAGCAATGATCCCAGGCAATTGAAGAGGCAGAGAAACTGTTGTTGACTAGGGTAAAGGAAAAGCAGTAGTTACAGCATTTTAGAGGCAGTGATTTGTGAAAAAAGCAAAGATGTTACATTCTGACTTCCTAAGAGACACCCCTGGAATGAGTGCTGAAAGTGACTTATTTAGTCTAGTAGGGGTGGTTCAAGCTGAAGGAGGCTGTGTCCTGTACTGAGCATCACTCTCCCAGGTCGATTTCTGATTTCTGCTGAGACATCTTCATTGGCCTCATCTAATGTTTGGTCCTCACTGTTCACTTTTGTTCCTTTCTATCCAGAGGCCTCTTTAGGTCTCAGGTGCTCCCCACCATGTGTGGGCCATTTAAGTAGCAAGGGTATTATTAATCTGCATAGGTTAACTGTTCTAAAAAATAACCCCCAAATATCACTAACTTAACACAATAAGAGCTTATTTTTTCATACCACACTCTAATGTGGTGGGGATGTGGAGTGGAGAAAGAAAGAGGGACTCTTCATGAAGTCATTTAGGAATCCATCAGAAGAGATGTTCTTGTTTTGTTCATAGCCTTTTTGGCAATCTGATGAAGCCTAAGGATCCCTTTTCAGAACACGGGTTTTAAAAGGCATAAAAATCATGGGATTACAAAGGAAACCAATTTTATTGAACTATAGTTATTAAACCATTTAAAAATAAATCTGTTATATATGTACTTTATTAGCATATGAAATAAAAAAATCTAGTAGTGGGTCTCCTAATGACTGTTATTTCCAAGAAAATTTGACTGTAAATGATATTTTGAGATACCCCAAATAGTAATATAATATGACAATATCTGATTTTTATTGGTGGCAAAGTCATAAGTATTGTTAATATTGTACATTGGTCTATACATTCATATTTCAAGGAAATTCTAAATTTCAGTTGGAGGTTGGTGAAAATGCAGAATTTTTCTTTCAAATCCAAGGTCATGCTTCCCCTAAATTCTATTAATGGATCCCACGTTAGGAATTTTGGATTTAGTGATCTGCTGTTTTCTAGAATCATGTATTCTTCACTGGTTCATATATGTTCAGCTTGCAAATAAGGGGAGAGAATGCATATAGAGGTTCATATGGGTTTTAAAAGTCAGTCCCATTTCCCAAACTAACTGCAGGAGAGGCTAAGAAATGTAGTTTAGCTGTGTGCCAGGAGCAAAAGGGATGAGTCCTGGTAACGACACAGCACAGTTTCTGCCACAATGGGAAACACGCTCGCAGTGCTCTGGACTATGAAAAGTTTTGCTTCCATGCCCCGCTAGGAGCACAGGATCATTCTGGTACTTTCTGGTTATCACATGTCACAGAAAATTCTGTGAGACTATTTGGGCTGTCTGCTTAGTCACATGACCATGTTTTGTGCTTTTGCACAAACCTGGGCATAAGAAACTGGGATTCTGCCACCTTGCTGACTTTATGTCTCATTAAAGTCTGGAAGAAATAAATGAATCCCAGTGTACAAAATGTACAAATCCTCCTATTCTGAAAATCCCCCAAACTTCTAAAGCTTTAATTATCATCCCTCACCTTCATCCCATTCAACGGGTTCACTGGTACATACATTAATTGCCTAAATGGGAAAAGGCTACTGTGAAGAAAGAAATAATAGGAAAAAATTTTAAAAGGTTAATATAACAAAAGTATAATCCTGCCACAATTGTGGTGCTCTTTCCTTTGGAACTAGACTTCAGACACCTACAGAAAAAAAAAATCCTGAAAGAAATAACTTTTCATTTTCTTTTATCTCTGTTCTTGAGTCTGGCAACAGAGACAGTTGCTTAGAAGTGAAGGTGATTTGGGCAGTTGGTGAAGGAGACTGGGTCACTTCATCTACAAAATGGTAATAAAGGCCCTGGCTGGTTTGGCTCAGTTGATAGAGCATCAGCCTGTAGACTGAAGGGTCCTGGGTTCAATTCTGGTCAAGGGCACGTGCCTCGTACCTCAGTTGCAGGGTCCCGGCCCCTGGTCGGGGGCATGCTGGCGGCAACCAATCAGTGTGTCTCATATTGATGTTTCTCTCTGTC